TCCCTCCTTCCCTCTCAGCGACGACCAGGCAGCAATTACGCTTTGGGGATAAAACGAGGCGCAGAGTGCGGCTGGGGCATTCCTCCCCGAGATGGCGGGTCTGACTGCTGCGGCCCCGCTCCTGCTCCTGCTCCTGCTCAGCCTCCTCCACCCCGCGCAGCCAGGAGGTAAGGGCCCTTTGCCGGTCCCCAGCTGCCTGAAGCCCTCTCAGCCGCTCCGGCCAGGTGCCGGCCAGAGGGAGCCCTTTCAGCCCCTGGGAGCCGGGAGTCGCCTGTTCCAGCGCCAGCCTTGCCTGGAGGAACCTGTCACACAGACACCCCATGACTTGGGATGCTCCCTAACCCAGTCTCCTAGGGCAGAGGGGAGCCTGCTCCCCCAGATCCTTCCCTCACTGGCATTTGGGCTCTGACTGACCATTTTCACACCTGTGGCACCCGCTGGGTGCCCGAGCCACCCTGCGCACAGCACCTGCATTGGAAGCCACTTGGCCACAGTGAGCTGTGCAACCTTAGCATGTTCCCTGGGCCCTGGGAGGTCAGGGTCTCCCTCTGCTGAGGTCAGGGCCAAGCTGATGATGGGTGCATGGGTCAGAAGGCTGCTGCTGTGACCTGTCCCGGGCAAGGGGCACAGGGGCCTGAATGAGCATGGACGAGGTGTCATGTGCTGTCTTGCACAGACAGATGTGTGTGCCCTGCCCAGACATGTCACTGAGCAGGAGGGGTTTCTGGGAAGGGGGAGAGGGCTGCACACGGGCTGACCCTGAGACAGGTGGACGTGGGCGTGGGGGACATGTATGGAGATGTCTGTTTGCATAGCAGAATTCTGCCAGCCAACAAGAACTCAGGGGAGACTGGGTGTCCCGAGTGTCCCGGGTGTGGGCTGTCACTGAGAGTGAGACCAAGTGTGTGCATGTGTGTGTGTGTGGGTCTGTGTGTGAGCAAGTCTGATACTGATGAGTACAATAGAGGAAATGTGAGCCAGGTGGCTCCTGGCGGGGGCTGGAGGGGACCTCAGGGTGTCACTGCGTGTGAGCCCTTATTGGGGGTGGCTGGCCATGCAGGGCTGCTCCAGGGCCAGGAGGGGCCACAAGGTGCATCCGGCTGCAGGAAGAGAGGCGCGGGCTTGAGCACCATCTGGGAGGTGGCCCGGGTTGGGTCTGGTTGTCATGGGAGTACTCAGAGCCCTGAGACCAGACCTAGTGTGGGGGGCACAGGAAGCAGGTCTGGAGTCCGGCCGGGCTGCAGAGTCTGTGCTTCCGTGAGACCGACCTGCCGGGCTGGCTGCTGGAAGCAGGAGGCACCTAGCTGGGTCCGAGTTTGGAAGAGGCTGAGGGGAGGGATGTGGACACTAGTGGGGTGGTGGGCAGCAGAGGTGGCCAACCAGCACCTCCGGGCCGTCTGACCCTCCACTCCCAGTGTGACCCCAACACCTGCCGCCCTCCAGCAGTGAGGGGGATATGACCACCTGGGGGGGAGTTTCGGGGAGACATGGGACAACATCTGAGGGGCAGGCCTGGGTCAGTGTCCCTGAAGGGCAGTGGCCTTAACCTGTGGCCTTGGACAGCTTTTCAGGGCCCAGCTGGCCCGGTCCCTGCAGAGAGGAGTCTCGGATCTGATCCAGGTGGCTGGACTCGCTGGCTTCAGATCAGGGATGTGTGGACTGGGGGGTCTTGGACTCTGCAAGCCCCCCACCTGGCTGTCCTGGGGGATCCCAGCTTCCCCACCCAAGCATCAGCATCAGTGGGATGACAGTGGCACTTCCTGGGGAGAGCACCCCGCCCGAGCCCCCTGTACCTTTCAAAGGGGGAGCTGGTGACATTAAACCAGGTGTCCAGCTTTCCCCAGCCTTTTCCCAATTTCTGAGCTGGAGGTGGTTTGGATGGGGTAGGGGGACTCTGTATAATTGCGGCACAGGGTTCGCCCCGCTTTGTACCGGGCAGGGAGGTTTTTTTTAAGCTCCCCAGGTGTCTGATGAGCCGCCAAATCTGAGCAGCTCTGGCTCAGACGTTGATCCAGCCCCATGTGGCTGTTGGGATCTCAGCAGAGGACAAATGTGCCCCTGTGTGGGAGGGGACAGTCACCCACCCAGGACAGATTGTTTTTGAAAAGTCCTTGGCAGCCTGCCCCATGTAAACAACAAACAGCTTGGTGAGGTCTTGTCTGCTCCCCGGGCCGGTCCTGGGCTTTGGCTTGGCAAAGCCGCTGCCAAGCCCCGAGATCCCGGATCCCAGAGCAAGGGGCAGAAGCCCAGCCTGTGACAAGGGTCACTGCTGGTCCCAGACCTGACACTCATCCTGCTGGTTCTCGGTTCCCCCGGCTGCAGAATGGGAAGAAACAGCCCTGCCCGGAGCGCCCACCTCCCTGGGCCAACAGTCTGCAGCCCCGAGGCGCCTGCCAAAAATGCGTCAAATATGAGAACCGTGGGAAGGTTAATTTGCAAAATGATATATTCTCTCATTTGGAATGTGCTAACTCTGGCTGTAATTCGTTTCCAGGTTTAATTTCTAAGGTCTAATTCTTCCTCTTGGGAGCAGCTGATAAATAAATAAATGTGCAGTAATGGGGGAAGCAGACAGAACCCAGGGAAGAGTGGCCTTAAGGAGCCTCAGGAAATTCAGGAAGGGACATTTGAGTGACATTTGAGTTAGACTTGAAAGAAAGGGCAATGTTTGAGAGGCTGGCAGTAAATGGGAGGAAAGTCTCAGGGTATAGGGCTCTGGGAGGTAGAATCAGAAGGATAGAGAGAGGATTTCACTTCCACAGAGCTGAAAAGCAACGGGAGGTAATGAGTTCCCCAGCATGGGAAACATGCAAGCAGAAACAGGAGAATGTTTGTAAAAGGAGATCCAGCCCAGGCCAGAAGACTGTTATGATTCCTGAGAGTCTGGGATCATGATTCTTAGATGCAAGAGACAAGTTCCACCCTGGGCTAGTGGGTGGAACAAGCCAAACCCACATAAAGCAAGACAAGTGTGTTCCAAGCCAGCTGTCTGGGGCTGGTGGAGGAAGAGCCGGGGTTCAGAGAAGGCAGGAGGGAGGCTAAACTCAGCATGGAGGCTGGGGAGGGGTTGGAGGGAGGCGGGCAGTCCTGGCCCAGGTGGGAAGGCAGGTGACCCGCTGGGCACAGCAAGGGGGTCGCTAGCTTTTCAGTCCCTGCCTCAGCGGACTCACGCTTTATCCTAACCTCCCCTGTCCAGCCTTTGAAGAGAGACAGGCAGGGACTCTCCGTGGCCGCTGGCCCACCCTGTATGCCCCAGGCCTGATGGCCACGGGGGTTTAGGCTTGGAGCGGGGCCACGGTGGGCATGGCGAGGAAAAGAGGCAGGTGGGGCTCAGAGACAAAGTCGTCCTGTCCCCCGGAAAGGGCCCAGCCATAGGCAACGTGCAGGAGCGGGAACCCAGGGACCAAGAGGGCTCAGCCAGGCCAGGGGTGCTGGACAGCTCAAGGGCAGAAGGCAGCTGGGCAGCTGCGACCAGAATTTTAAAGTGGGTCAGACCAGAGGCACGGGCGGCCTCCCTGCTTCCCCTCCACCTCCTTCACCGTCACCACTGAGCATCTACTACCACGGCCCTGAGCCAAACCCTCAGCAACGGAAGTGCAGGTGGAGGTCACCGGTATTGTCTGTCTTCCCCCTGCCAACTATGCACAGGCTCTCACCTGAACCCTTGCAACTGTACAAGTCAGTGAGGATCAGCTCCACGAGGCAAAAAGGAAAGTGAGGCTCAGAGAGGTTGGGTGACGGGCCTGAGGTCACACAGGTGGTAAGAAGCAGCGAAGCCAGGTTGGAAGCCAGGGGTGCCTGTCCTGAGCCCCTTGCCCTTCCTACTTACCATGCTTTTCCCCTGCCCTGGAGCTAGAGAGCAAGGGAGAAAGGGCCGTGAGGAAGAAAGGGATGAAGGCTGAGGAAGGAGGATGGAAAGTTCAAGGCCAGCCTGGGCAACTTAGTGATCTGGTGAAACCCTGATTCAAAGTAAAAAATAAAATAAAATAAAAAGGGCTGGGGATGTCGCTCATTGCAAAGGACCTGGGTTCAATTCGCAATACCTAAAAGAGAGAAAGAAGAAGAAAAAAGAAAGAAAGTGCTGGAAAGAGGCAGCAGCAGAGAAAGATGCATGAGACAATGCTGGAGCTGGAGCCAGGAGTGGCATCAAAGGCCCAGCAAGCCGTGTGTGGGTTTGGCAGCCCATGACAGGCTGAGCACTCGCTGGTTCCCAGCAGTCCCAGCCCCTGGGGCCACCGCGAGGAGCCTGGGCTGCCACCCCCAGGGCTCAGGGCTTTGGCATGGGGTGGACAGGACAGCCGGGCATCCTCAGCCCCACGGGGCTGCTGCTGAGGCAGATGAGGCCCAGGACCGTCAGGCCCAGCTGCCCTCTGTCGCCAGGCCTCAGAGGCCAGACAGCCAGACACCCCGCAAAGCTGTGTGGCTGTCCCCTGGGCCGCCAGGACCCCCTGAGACAGGGCGGGGCAGGGCCATCGGCAAGGTCCAGGGCATTCCGGTACAGCCAGGGCCCAGTTTGGGACTGAGTTTGTTGCCTTGACGACAGTCAGGCCTGGTAAGGGCCAGCGCCTGGCGGTCCATGGGGGCTGAGCTCGTGACCTTGGCTGGGGAATCAGCTGTTCTTTAGGAAACTATTCACTTTGGTCATTCATGGTGTCCAGCTCTGAGGCCCAGCACCTCCCACAACAGCCCTGTGTCTCATGGCCAAGACCACACCCAAGGGTGGCTGTCCGGTGGCCGAGGACACTGACCCCGCACCATCTATCAGTGTGGGGACAGCCGCGACGGCGCTGGCCGTGGCTGTGCTTCCTTACTGCAGCCGTCAAGAGCCTGCCTGCCCTCCCACAGCTCTGGCTCCCACCCGTGCCGCTCAGCACCACAGAGCTGCTGTCGCCCTCCCCGGCCCTTGCACTCAGAGAGGGCTGGGCAGCACTGTGCCTGCTGTCATTCCCAGAGGTGTGGCCTGAGTTGCAGCCACGCTCCACCTCTTCCCAGCTGTGTGGCCCACAGGCCCCTGCCCAACCTCTCTGAGCCGGACTTCACATCTGTGAAAACCGTGGTCATAATCCCTGCCTTTCCAGCCTCACAGGGCCACTTAGAAAAGCAAGAATGAGAAAATGCAAACATTGGACTGCCAGAATTCTGGGAGGCTGAGGCAGGAGGATCACAAGTTCAACCCTAGCCTGGGCAACCTAGTGATTTAGTGAGACCCTGTCTCAAAATTTAAAAAGAAAAAAATTTTAAAGGGTTGGGGATGCATTTCAGTGCCAAGGCCCTGGGTTTGATCCCCAGTACCAGAAAGGGGAAGGGAAGGAAAGAGAGAAGAAATTTCTTCCTAGACAATCTGATTACCATGATCATCATGGTTATCAGGTTTTATGAGCCTCGGCTAATGGTGGATTCTGCCGGCTTCCTTCCAGGGGTCCCAGGGGCAGTGCCTGGTGGTGTGCTTGGTGGCATTCCCGGAGGAGTCCCCGGAGGAGTCTTTTATCCAGGTGATGTACACAGTGCCCCTCAGAAGAGGCCTTGCACTTGGACATGGCAGAAGACAGGAGCCACTCCTGCGTAGAAACTCGGTCCCCGGGACCGTGTCACAGGCACAAGAGCAAAAAGATTCTGAAAGAGGAAACAAGATCCTCCAGCTGTCAGGGCTGGTGCTCTTCCATGCTCTTCTGTGCTCCCTAGCCCCTGGCTACTAATCCCGCCCCTGGCAATTTGCTGGAAGCAAATAATAGAAAAGGAAAGAAAAAGAGCAGTCCGGGCTCCTCCAGAGCATTATAAAAACATTTCTGATCGGAGGGTGGGATTAAGTGAACTCAACACAGGCAGTCGTAAAGAATTATGGTTTGTTTGGTTTTTTTTTTTGTTTTTTCTTTCTTGCAGTACTGGGGATTGAACCCAGAGCCTCCATGCTGAGCTGCAGCCCCAGCCCTGTTTTTAAAATTATTTTTGAAATTGCTAAATTGCCCAGGCTGAGCTTGAATTTGCGATCCTCCTGCCTCAGCCTCCAGTGGAGTGTTTTTTGAAGTAAAAGGAATATAAAAGCAATGACTATGTACAAACAGAGATTGGGAGCCCCCAGCCCCCACTGCCAAAAGAAAATGGGCAGGACTTTAGGGCAATGGTACTGGGAAGGGGGCATTTTTTTTCTAATTTAAAAAAAGCAAAATATTCTCAAGTAGATTAGAAATGAAAAGCAATATTTGTAGTGCTTCAAAGTACCGAAACAAACACAAACTGGTATGGAGATATTGACTGAGACAGACTGGGAAACTGAGGCTCACGGAGTTTGACTCAAGGGCACAGCCAGGAGGGTTGGATTTGAGCATGGGAGGAAAGAGAGCAGCCTGGAAGGGAACTGATGGTCTCTGTCTGTCTGTCTGTCCGCGTGTCTGTCCCTCTCCTTATTCTCCATCACAGGGGCTGGTCTCGGAGGCCTGGGAGGAGGAGGTGAGCTCGTGGCTCTGGGTGTCATCTTGGTCCCTGTCTGAGGTCCCCAAAAGTTAAGGGTCCCTCTGTCACAGCTCAAGCATCCTGAGTGTGGGAAGAGCCCTGTCTGAGAATCTGTCTGGGCCCCCTGGGCCGCCCCAGGTTTCCCTCCGGTGGCCCTGCTTTCAGATTTCTTTGGCCCTCACAAACACCCTCTGCCAAGCTGGCACAGCACGGACCATCTTCCCTCTTGCAAAAAGCTGAGCCATAAATCTGGGTGGGGTGGGGAGGGCCCCCAGTGGCTCACAGTCTGAGGACAAGGACCCCCATCCCCTCTAAGCACCCCCGGGGTCGGGTGGGTAGAGAGTAAAACAGTGCTGGGGCTCCCATTCACCACCACATCTCTTCCTTCTACAGGCCTGGGACCTGGAGGGAAGCCACCCAAGCCAGGTAAGAGCCAGCCAGGGAAGACCTGGCCAGGTGAGGATGGGTGGGTGGGTGGAAGGGGCTCTCCAGGGCTGCACACCGCCAGGAGCCAGGCCCGTAAGCTGGGTGCAGCAACGACACCCAGGTATCAGCAGGTGGGGGCCCGGCCCCAGGGTTTCCAGGGACTGGAGGCTGGAGGCAGCTCAGGTCCTCCCTTTGTGAGAAACACCGGTCTCTGCCCCACAAGCACTGCTCCTCCAGACTGCCTCCTGCACATGGCCTCAGCAACAGCCTGGCCCCAAGGCAAAAGTAGAAAAGGAGGCCAGGTGTGGTGGTGCATGCCTGCTACACCAGCACTCAGGAGGCTGAGGGCAGGACGACTGCTATGAGTCCGAGCTCAGCCTAGGCTATATATATCAAAACCCTGTCTCAAAAAATAATAATAATAAAAAAAAACTAGTGGAGATTAAGGTCCCAGTGGCCACCAAACTATAAAGATGGACTCACACCCTGGTTCCAGACAAGCCTTGTCTACCCTGGGGCAAGGGCCCTGAGAGCCCCGGCCTGATGCCAGTCTGACCCCAGACCAAGCCCTGAACTCTGGGCTGAACCCCAGGCTGAACTCTGATCCCGGCCCTGGGGCAGGGAGATCACAGTCAGCTCAGGAAGCTCGAGGGGGTGGAGCGAGTGGAGGAAATTTAGTGTCTCTGTCTCTCTGTGGGGATTTACAGTCCCCTGGGAGTGAGAGGCTCCACATGTGAGCCGGCCTCATGCCCAGGGTCTGCAGCCCCAGGCTGTGGGACAGGGCGCTCGCTGGATGTCCAAGAGTTCTTACGAAATCCCCGTGGTCCATGATCCAAGTGCAGATGGATCGTTGGGACCAGATTCCCAGATTCGCGCAGCCTGGCTGTTGTGAAACCCCAGACGGAGAGGGGTGGGGGTGGGGCACCCAGGCCAGGGGCTCCTGGGGTCGGGCTGAATGCTTCCCCTTCCTGGAGGGCGAGACAACTGCTCGCAGACACCGGCTGGGTAGCGGCTAAAATGAAGCATTTAGTAATGAAGACTTAGGTTAGACTCCTGAAAGTACTTCTAGCTCCAAGCAAAGGAGTAGACACAGGTGATGGCATTCGGATGAAGAGGGCACCACAGAGAGGCAGGGACTGGCTTCGTGACCTCACTGAGGTCATCTTTCAGCCTCAGGACTTAGCAGAGCACCCTCAGGTCCCCAAGGAAGCTCCCCACCTCCAGGTGGCAGGGAGGGGATGTCCGGGCCTGCCCAGGCAGGACAGGACAGGGCACAGGCAGCGCATGTCATGCTTGGGAACGATTAATCCCTCGGTGATACCGTGGGTGGCCTGGCAGCTGCCACTCCACGTGGGCGCCACAGGCCAGCCCTGCCCAGCGTGGGCTGAGGGGGGGCAGCTGGGCACCGCCCTCTCACACCCCCAGCACCAGCTGGAGGCCAGCTGCCCCCGGGAGGGACATGGACACAGCTCCCTGGCAGCCACGTACTCTGGGTGCTTTAAGCTCACCAGCTCCCTGGGCCCAGGAGAGTAAGAACATAATGACTGCTTATAGATGGGGAAACTGAGGCTCGGGAAGGCAAATGAGTGGCTTCTACTCTTGGAGAATGAGGAGAGCACAGGGTCTGAATGCAGAACTTCCTGTCTCCGGGAAGAAAGAGGGTTGGGCTGGCAAGGTCCTGGGCTCCTGTCTGTGATCAGCTGGTCCCCTCTCTCCTCATTTACAGGTGCTGGGCTGCTGGGGACATTTGGGGTTGGTGAGTCCAGAGGAAGGAGGGCGACAGGGTTGGAACAATCTGGGTGCCACTGTGGAGAAAGGGCCAATCCCGCCGACTCCCCCCATTTCCGGTCCAGTCCCATCCTCTCCTCCCAGATCCTCTGTGGACAGGAAAGGTCTGAGCATGACTCCTGCCCCCTGGAAGCTCAGGAAACAGGGTGCAGATAGAGCTGGGAAGTGGCCAGGGCAGCGCCAGGCCTGGTCACCGCATCATCTACCTTGGCAGTTACAGACCATCCGACAGAAGGTCTGCCTCAGTTTCCCCCGGGCCCAGGTCACACCATGGGCAATGAGCGGGGAGGGCTGACTGGAGATGGGGAGACACAGAGACCCCTTCAGGGCTCCACGGGCCCCAAGCATGGGGTCCCCTAGTGGGGCTCACTCCTGCTAGGGCTCAGGGCCCTAGCAGCGAGGTCCAGCATTGTGGGAGGGGGCTCCTGTTCTGTGAAACAACTCAGTGCTGGTGGGGCTTCCTGTCTGTCTGCGTTCTGACAGAGGGTGAGGGCAGAGGGCCTCCCAGACCCAAGTGATGAAGAAGGAGGGGCTGAGTCTGGGAAGAGGCCAGGATGAGGATGACAGGGTGGGGGACAAGGCCAGGCCTGGCAAGAGTTCTCTCTGCACCCCTCCCCACTGAATTCCCCAAGCTGGCCCACTCCAGGAAATGCCAGGCCCAACCCACTTGCTAGAGAGCCTGGCATCACCCTGCCTGCATGGCTCAGAGACCAGCTAGGGACCCGCATGCCAGCTCCTCCTCGCCTGCTCCCTCTTCACTGCAGGTCCTGGTGGGCTCCCTGGTGGACTCCCTGGTGGCGTCACCGCAGGGGCAGGTAAGTAATACCTGGTTCAGATGCGCCCCCTGGGGGCAGCCTGAGCTCAGCCCAGTAGGCAGGGCAGCTAGAGTACAGGTGCTGTCAAGGGCACAAACAGAGGCATGGACCCCACCTGCCCCAATCAGCTGCCCTGGACCCCCGGTGTCTCGGCTAGGGGCTGGATACAGTTATACCTAGTGACTCAGGCTGCAAGAGGCTCTGGGGGCCAGGATCTCCTGGGACGTGTGCTAGGGGAGGCGGGTGGGCATGTGACCCCAGAGGCCAGGCACCCTGCCCTGCACAACCCCATCTGCCTGCCAAGCACCACAGCGCCAAGCCCAACACTCAGCAGAAAAGACCTCAACATGCCCCAAGCAGGTGGTGCCCAGCAACCAAGGACTTGGCAGTTCAGGACCTCACTCTGTCCCCCTGCACAGGGATTGGGGCCTTTCCTGCAGGCACCTACCCGGGGGCTCTGGTGCCCGGTGGAGCAGCTGGTGCTGCTGCTGCTGCTGCTTATAAAGCTGCCAAGGCCGGTGAGTGGTGTCTTTGGGGCGGGCTGCAGCCCCCCACCCTGGCTTCCTTCCCTGGTGGCAGGGGCAGAGTCCTCCCCTCTAATCTCAGGAGCCAGCTAGGTGTGCCCGGGCCACTGTGGGTGGGTGGCAGGGCCTCAGTGCACAGCCCGTCCCTTCTCCTCTTCCTTGATGTCCCTGCACGATCCCATTCCCCTTTCTCACCTGTCCCGGCTCTCCAGGGGCCGCCGGGCTTGGTGGAGTTGGAGGACTTGGTGGCGTTGGTGGCGTTGGTGGCATTGGTGGCGTTGGTGGCTTAGGAGTGTCTACAGGTACAGTGACCACACCTGAGTCTCCAAGGTGATGCCCCAGGCCAGGCGGAGCCATCTCTAATGCCCTCCTGTCGTGGCCAGGTGCCGTGGTGCCTCAGACCGGAGCGGGCGTCGGAATTGGAGCTGGAGGGAAGCCAGGGAAAGTTCCGGGTCAGTGTGGAGTCTCTGGGGCTGGGGGACAGAGATCAGGGAGGGACAGAGGTGCCCCATGGGCCTGGGGGAGGAAGGGCAGGGCAGGGTAGGTGACCTCCAAACCCAAAACATGGTCCCATTCTCTGAAATGGAACCAGATCAGGAAGCGACGTAAGACATGAGTGCTGGGGCAGGCTGTGGGGTGACAGATGAGGAAACTGAGGCTTGGGATGGACAGTCAGAGCGGAAGGGCCACAGCTGCAGGCGGCTGAGCTGGAGTGGCCCCCAGCATCCTCTGACACCCATCTGGTACTCACTGGGCTGCACCCAGCCCTTGAGGAAGTGACTTCAGGTTACTCAATAGGCTGCCTGAGTGCGCTGAGGCCGCACAGCAGGAGGGACATGTGGAATCAGTTAGCAGAGGTGGGCTGGCCACGGGCCCGGTAAACAGGCTTCCAGAGACAGAAATAAATCCACACACAGAGGGTTTGCAGATGACTTCCGAGACTTCGGAAGGAGGGCCACGGCCACCCCAAGTCTGCCCAGTGCCCTGGCAGCTAGAGGGCTGCTGGTCTGGGACCCCCGGTGGGAAGGTGGGGAGGGTCCTGGGTCTCAGCTGCTGATGGGGCTCCTCTCTCTTCCTCTGACTGCAGGTGTGGGGCTCCCAGGTGTATACCCAGGTGGAGTTCTCCCAGGCACAGGTAAGGACCGGAACAGGGAGAGAGCAGCCCCTGTCCCCTCCCCACATCCACTCCTTGCCTCAATCAGGGGCCACTGGAGGCCTTCAGTCCCAGCCAGTGGCTGCTTTCCTAAGGGTCAGGGTTCAAGCAAATGATCATAAGGTCCCTGGAATTAAAGGACAGCTTCTGACAGTCATGGTGGTGTATATCTGTAACCCCAGCAGTCTGGAAGGCTGAGGCAGGAGGATCACAAGTTCAAGCCCAACCTGGCTAACTTAGTCACTTAGTGAGGCCCAGCTCAAAATAAAAAAGGGCAGGGGATGTAGCTCAGTGCAAAGTCCCTGAGTTCAATCCCCCCTACCACACACACACACACACACACACACACACACACACACTTCCCCTGGTTCCAGTCCCAAACCCTAATCCCAGCCTAAGTTGGTACCTGAGGGCAGACTGAATCCCCAGTGTAGCCAGCTGTTTCCCAAAAGCCCTGAGTCACCAGGGGGGTCCTCCCATTAACTCCGCCCTGTCAGAGAGACCGCTCAGAGCTGCCCCTCGCCCGCTTCTCCCTGCCAGGGCTGCCACCCCACCCTACACATGACCTTCTGAAATCCCCCAAAAGTCCAGATTCAGGCGGCTCTGTGGGATTTGCTGACACAGTAGCCCCCTTTCCTGTCCTGGGTCAAGGCCCAGGGGAGGTGGGAGAAATGGGAGATGCTGGTGGAGGATTCTGGCTGCAGTACAGTGGCGGCTCTCTGGGCAAAGGTGCAGCCCATAGCTCTGGCTTTGGGTGCCTTTGCCATCTCTCCTGAGGGCCATCAAGAGGGTTTTGTGAGTCCCACTGGCACACAAGCTAAGAAATACCATTAAAACAGGTCTTCTGAGGCAGTCATGGTGGTGCATGCCTGTAATCCCAGCACTCAGGAGACTGAGGCAGGAAAATAGCAAGAGTTCAAGGCCAGCCTGAACTACATAGGGAGACCTTGTCTCAGAAAAACAAAACAACACAACAAAATACATCTGACCTTGGGCCAGGCAGCCGAGGAAAGTCCCCCACCGACTAGGTCCTTTCTCTACCCACCCATGACATGGGTCAGTCACTGGCAGACAGTTTGGAAGGGGAGCCGCTGGGAACCCGAGGTGGTGCCAAGCCGGGCCTTCATGCCCTCTTTGCCCTTCCCCTTTCTGCTCAGGAGCTCGCTTCCCTGGGGTAGGGGTGCTCCCTGGAGTCCCCACTGGAACTGGAGTCAAGGCCAAGGCCCCAGGTATGCATCCCCTGAGTGGGGCCCCGCTGGGGTGCGGGGTACAAATGGGGACTCTGGGCTCATTCAGGGTCCTCTGCGTGGGCACGTATGGCAATTGCTGCTCAGAAACCCCACAGAGTGTTCGAGGCCACACAAGGAATGGTCTGGGCAGAACTGCCCACCCTCCTGCTGGCTGATGATACCGCTGTGCCTGCCCTGTACCCACAGTGCCAGAATGACAGCTTTTTGTCATTGCAGGTGGAGGCGGAGCTTTTGCTGGAATCCCAGGTGAGGCGAGGCTGTTCCTTTCTGACCCATGGGAGGACTGGCAGGTGGCTAACCAGGCAGGGATACCTGCCCTGGACAGGGCTGGCCACCCGGAAGCCCTCACAGACTGCCCAATCCTCATGTCTCCTGCTCTGGGCCTTGAACTGGCTTCAGCACAGAGTGGCAGGAATCACAGGCCTGCTACGCACTCGGACACTGAGTAGCAACCACACATACCCAGGGAACCCAGCCTGGTGCCAGAGGCTGCAAGGACACAGGGCTGCAGGCTAGAACTCCAGGTGGAGAATCCTGCAGCTCCTTTGAGCAGGCTACCAGTGTCTGGGCTGCGTAGGAAGGGCCTCAAGGAGCAGAGGGGAGCACACACATCTGAGCAGAAAGCTGCTAGCAGGAGGCAGAGGTTTAGAAGGGGCTGCTGGCCCACGGAGCTGGGCCTTCACTTGCTCTTTGTTCTCATAGGGGTCGGGCCCTTTGGGGGCCAGCAGCCTGGGGTCCCCCTGGGATACCCCATCAAAGCACCCAAGCTGCCAGGTGAGTTGGAGGGAAATCAGCTTTGGGAACTTATTGGGCCACGGATGTCTCTGGAACCAGGGTAGGTGGGGTGGGGAGGGGAACCTTGAAATTGAAGCTACTTCTGCTCACCTGCCTGGAAAGCAGATATAGCCTGCGGGTATAAAACCATGCACACACATATGCACACACACCCCCATGCACAGACCCATGTCTTGATGGGAGACCACAGGTGGTGGTGGCCAGAAGTACCATGCAAATTAGCAGTGGTGGTACACACCTGCGATCCCAGACCTCTGGGAGGCTAGGGCAGGAGGACCAAAGTGCAAGCCCAGCCTGAAAAACTTAGTGACTTAGCATGCTCCTATCTCAAAATAAAGAATTTTTAAAGAGCTGGGGATGTAGCTCAGTGAGAAGGCCCCGGGTTCAATCCCCAGTAACACAAAAGAAAAAGAAAGAAAGACAGCGAAAAGGAAGGAAGAGGAAGGGAAGGGAAAGAAAGAAAGAAATAAAGAGAGAAAGAGAGAGAGAGAGAGAAAGCAAGCGAGTTTCCTGTAGGGAAGTGCATGAGAAAGCTACTAAGACCCCCAGGGCCACAGTGAGCTGGGATTTGCTGTGGACAGGAGTTGCATCCCTAGGGCTAGGGGTCCACTCATCCTCTGCCCAGGACTGTGCTCTCCGGGAACCCCTGGGGCCCTGGGAGTCTCACTCCGGGTTGGGGAGCCTAGCAAGGCCTAGGGCAGCCCTGAGCCTGCCCTGCCCTCTGCCCAGGTGGCTACGGACTGCCCTACACCAACGGGAAGCTGCCCTATGGTGAGTATGGCGTCCCCCAGACCTGGGGCTTCCAACCCCTTCCAGCTTCTAGGCCTGGCAAGGGTGCTGTGCCCCCCCAACCATGCTTTTGGAATGGGGGGTCTCCAAAGGACACAGCATGAAATTCGGACTCAGATGGCCTTGTTCTCAGTCCTGGCCGTGGGCGAGAGCCATTTCGTTTCTCAGCGTCCTGGGCTGCACAGTGGGAGTAATGATTCCACAGGTGGGGGTGTTTGTGTCCGCTCTGACTGGGGTGACAGGAGGCCAGAAGGTGGCTCACTGACCTCTGAGTCTCTGTCCCGCAGGAGTTGCTGGTGCAGGGGGCAAAGCCGGCTACCCCACAGGGACAGGTACGGAAGTCCTCATCTACTTCCAGCCAAAGGGGTGCCGGTCACCGCCCCTCCCAAGCCCTGGGACTGGCCAGGGTCTCCCCCAAAACAGGCCTCGGAGTCAGGGGTCTGATCCCAGGTGGGGGCACCTCTGGCTGTGAAGCCCCTCCCCACACCTGGGTATTGATGGAGGCTGGACATGGGTGGGCTCCGGAGATGCCACAGTACCCTCTTCAGCCCCCACACTCCCTTCTCCAGGGGTTGGCTCCCAGGCAGCAGCTGCAGCAGCTAAAGCAGCCAAGTATGGTAAGAATTTCTGGGGTGCCCCGTTAGCCCAGCCCCCCAGCCTGCCTATGAGGGGTGCCTCATGAATGGCCAACCAGGAGGCCCCTACACTCTCATTTGTCCAACTTTATCCACACCATCCACTCATGGATCACTTCCTTCCTCCAACTATCCCTCCCCATCCATCCCTCCCATCCATCCCCCATGCACCCATCCCCCTTCCAAGAATTTCTGGGGTGCCCCGTTAGCCCAGCCCCCCAGCCTGCCTATGAGGGGTGCCTCATGAATGGCCAACCAGGAGGCCCCTACACTCTCATTTGTCCAACTTTATCCACACCATCCACTCATGGATCACTTCCTTCCTCCAACTATCCCTCCCCATCCATCCCTCCCATCCATCCCCCATGCACCCATCCCCCTTCCCCCTC